GCCGTGACTGGCCCTTCCAGTCTTGATTTAGAGGGAAGTCGTGTGCAAGGTTAACAAAATGTATGGAGAAACTGGAGGCACATAGTCTATTAAATAATAACCTGGAGTTAAGTGGGATTCTCTGTGACATGTATGAATGTTTGTCTATTTGAGTTTAATGTGTTTAAACAGCTTTATATATATATATACCTTATATATATCAACCCTAAGTTATATATAACTTTTACATATATTATTGTTTGTGTGTGTGTATATATATATATATATATATATATATATATATATATATATATATATATATATATACAGTATATGTGTGTGTGTGTGTGTGTGTGTGTATTATTGCTAATAAACTATATTAAAGTTTATTAGCGTTATCTTGTATAAACAATTTTTCCTTTGACCTTTTTTTATTTATAAAGGACAATGCAGGTCAACCTATAATTAGTTTTTCTTCATGAAAACATTAATAGGAAAAAAAAGTATTTACTAGTCACTTACACATTTATGCTTTAAATAACGCAGTAACGTATAGTGGCATTCTCAAGCTAACTTACATATAAATTCAAACCTTTCCTCAAAACATTCTTTGTTTTCTTTCATTATTTAAGCACAAAGCTTTTAGATCTGTGGTATCAAAGTGTGTGTGTTTTTGTATAATTGTAATATTCACTTTTTTTAGCCGTTGTGTTTTTTTGATCTGAGAGTCTCTGATGACACACATCACACATCATCTCCAGGCTGAGCTTAAACGGGCTGTAAAATCAGTCTTTCAGGCTTGCAGGCTCACTCAAACAGTCTCTATGAACTCAAGTACTGTATGCCTTGTGTTCCCTGGATCCCTACATAAGCTGCAGTTGGTTCACTAAGACAAGTATTACTTGTAAAAAAAAGTATTACTTTTTTTTCTAACAATATGAAATGAATAACATTTTTATTTCCAAAAAGAGCCTTTTTCCTTTATATAAGCTGGTATGATTTTATTTTTTGTGCTTTCTATAGTAGGCCCTACATATGGTTTGGAGTAATGAAAGGGGCATTTAGTTTTTTAAAAGTTTGAGAAACTCTGGACTAAACCAATAAAATTGTGTGTTTTTGACTGGCTGACTAACTCATATTAAGCCCTTACGTGTGGGTCGCCCTCTGCCTCTCCCTTTTAGCACGTCTGCCATAGCCGGGTCTGCCAGAGATCCACTGCTGCACTGTTGTAGCCCCATACTAATTAATTGCCTTACTGCCTAATTACTAAAGCATCTCCCTCTTCACATCTCCTCACCACCTTCTTAGGCACCCGCCTGGAGGGCTAGCTCCGCAAGAGCATCGTCTGCCCCAACTGTCTCCCAACCGACTGGACTAAGTGCCAGGCTGCTCCAGTCCTGAACTCTTTGAACTTGCATTTAAGGCTTTTAGCAGATGCTCTTATCCAGAGCGACCCACAAAATATGCTTCAGCTTTAAATCTGAGACTGTCAACAGATGGTAAGCTTGTAATTCTGAAAGTTGTCTGCTAATCAATGTCTTGCACATGGCCTAATACCACCATCTGCTGCCGTGAAACTCTCAATTGGCGTAGATTTGGAAGGGGACAGAGGGGACATGACCCCAATATTTGAAAGGAAGTGATTTGTCTCCTCAGTCATGTCTTCAATGTTGACTGCTTGTTGACTACTTTTTGAGTGCCCGAATGAAGGTCAGATGGCCAGAACTATTATGTTTTTGTAAGTTTTAATAGTTTTGAATGGGAGTTTTTCTTCTTTTGCTTAAACTAGAATTCAGAAGTTTGAGGTTGTTATGATTTAAAAAAATAAAATAAATAATAATATTTTGAAATCTTATTAAAATTTTAAATAAGTTGTCTTAATATATATATATATATATATATATTAGGGATGGGCATGATTAATCGACGATCGATAATTGATCGTTAAGAATTTCGTCGATCACGTTAATTTGTTATCGATTAATCTAATGCATTTTTTTTATCTAATGCAGGTTGCGTTGCGTAGTGTGAGTCTTGACGCAATTAAATGAATTTCACTGTGTGGCAGCAATTAAGCATTTTACCACCAGGGTGCAATATTTGACACCATACTCGGTTATCTGTGATTTTCCGTTTTGATTTCAAAAGAATAATCATGAAGAGGTCATGGCGAAGTGTGGCGTGGGACCATTTTGATTTAAAAAGCGAAATAGTTCACTGCAAACATTGCGATGCCGTGTATAAGTACAACACGGCCACGACTCAAATAATGTACCACTTAAACAAAGTGCATCCGTCCCTGGTTAATGTCGGTGGCGGTGCACCCAGCTCTCAGACTCAACCTAGCATCAAGTCGGCATTAGCACGGACTCGGAGCTGTGATGCACAACGAGCAGAGAAAATTACCCAAGGGATCTGCAAGTTCATTGAGATGGATATTCTGCCCTTAAGTATTGTTGAGGGCAATGGTTTTCGAGAACTGATACATTTATTGGAACCAGCATATCAAATTCCATCACGACGTACCATCACTAGACTGATAGAAACTCACTACGAAGAACGAAAGCAGCAGCTGTTAAAAGAATTGAGCAAAGCTGAGAGAGTTGCTCTAACTACAGACTGCTGGACCGCTTTAACAGCTGAGAGCTACATCACCATAACCTGCCACTACATCAGTGATGACTGGCAAATGAACTCAGCGGTCCTGCTCACAGAAAGCCTGCCAGGCCGGCATACAGCTGACCACCTCGCTGAGAAAATGAATGGAGCTGTAGAGCCGTGGGGACTTAAAGGCCGAGTTATTGCATGCGTTCATGACAACGCGGCCAATATTGTAGCTGCCAACAGTCCCACCAGAGTGCCCTGGATTTCCGTTGCCTGCTTTGCACACACCCTCCAGTTGGCCATAAATGACGGATTTGCACTTTATCTTTATCAGGTAATATCAGCGGCTAGTAAACTCGTTAGCCACTTTAATCACAGCACTACAGCAACCAAAGCGCTGCAAAAGAAACA